TACAGGTATGTGCTCCCGCTTACTCAATACATTTAGTGTGACAAAGGACGTGCTCATCAGAAGATGAATTGCATGCAAGAGGCTGAGGAGTATCATAGCTGTCATAGAAACTGTCTCTTTTCCACAGCCGAGAATCTTCACAGTGGAGTGTTCAACATCTCTGGTGACTCAGATGTTTACTCTAAGCCTTAGGGAAGGGTAGGAGAGATGTCCTGGAGGCCAAATTTAGGCTGCTAGGAAAGAGACTGAAATCCAGGACCTCTATGGTGGCATTTTCGGAAATGCTTCCAGTTCCACGCGCAGGGCCAGGTAGGCAGGCAGAGCTTCAGAGTTTCAATGTGTGGATAGGGAAGAGGGGTTTAGATTTATTAGGAACTGGGGACACTTTTGGGAGAGGGGGAGCCTATACAGGAAGGACGGGCTCCACCTAAACCAGGGAGGAGCCAGACAACTGGCACTACACATTAAAAAGACCGTAGAGCAGTTTTTACACTAAAGAGATGGGGGAAAGCCGATTGGTGAGGAGATGCATGTAAATCGGAGGGAGACTTCTCTTAAAGGAGAATCCATTGATAGAGACTCTCTAAGCTGTAGTCAGAAAGAGAGGAGGGGAGAGGACAAACCATGGGCCAGAGCAGACAAACAACTGCATTCAAAGGAATCCAATGCATCAGGGAAGGGCAGACAAATAAGCAGTGGCAAATTTTTAAAGTGCTTGTACGCAAATGCTAGGAGTCTGACTAATAAGATGGGTGAACTGGAGTACCTCGTATTAAATGAGGAGATTGACATAATAGGCATCACTGAAACCTGGTGGAATGAGGAAAATCTGTGGGACACAATCATACCGGGATATAAAATATATCAAAAGGATAGAGCAGGCCGGGGGTGTGGCGGAGTGGCACTGTATGTGAAAGATAATGTAGAATCAAATGAAATAAAAATATTAAATGAATCAACATGTTCCATAGAATCGCTATGGATAGAAATTCCATGCTCCAATAATAAGAAATTAGCAGTAGGGATATATTATCGACCACCTGAGCAGGACAGCGATACTGACATTGAAATGCTGAGGGAGATTAGAGAGGCTACCAAAATAGAGAACTCTATAATAATGGGGGATTTTAATTACCCCCATATTGACTGGATACATGTCATCTCAGGAAGAGAAGCCGAGATGAAATTTCTCAATGGCTTAAATGACTGCTTCTTGGAGCAGCTAGTGCAGGAACCCACAAGGGGAGAGGCAATTCTCATTTTAGTCCTGAGTGGAGTGCAGGATCAGGTCCAGGATATAACCGTTACAGGACCGCTTGGGAATAGTGACCATAATATAATAACATTCAACATTCCTGTGGTGGGAAGAACACCTCAGCAGTCCAGCACCCTGGCATTTAATTTCAAAAAGGGGAATTACACAAAAATGAGGAGGTTAGTTAAACAGAAATTAAAAGGCACAGTGACTAGAGCCAAATCCCTGAAAGCTGCATGGAAACTTTTTAAAGACACCATAATAGAGGCCCAACTTAAATGTATACCCCAAATTAAAAAACATAGCAAGAGACCTAAAAAAGAGTCACCGTGGCTTAACCACCATGTAAAAGAAGCAGTGAGGGACAAAAAGGTATCTTTTAAGAAGTGGAAGTCCAATCCTAGTGAGATAAATAGAAAGGAACATAAACACTGTCAAATCAAGTGTAAACATGTAATAAGAAAAGCAAAAAAAGATTTTGAGGAACAGCTAGCCAAAAACTCAAAAAGAAATAAAATGTTTTTTAAGTACATTAGAAGCAGGAAGCCTGCTAAAAAACCTGTGGGTCCCCTAGATGATCGAGCTATAAAAGGAGCAATCAAGGACAATAAAGCCATTGCAGAGAAACTAAATGATTTCTTTGCTTCAGTCTTCACGGCTGAGGACGTTGGGGAGATTCCTGAATCTGCACCGTCCCTTGTGGATGATGAATCTGAGGAACTGTCCCGGATTGAAGTGTCATTAGAGGAGGTTTTGGAACAAATAGAAAAACTTAATGTTAACAAATCACCAGGACCGGATGGCATTCATCCAAGGGTTCTAAAAGAACTCAAATAGGAAATTGCTGAGCTATTATCTGTGGTTTGTAACCTATCCTTTAAAACTGGAAGGTAGCCAACGTGACACCAATATTTAAAAAGGGCTCTAAAGGCGATCCTGGCAATTACAGACCGGTAAATCTAACTTTTCTATCCCTTTCTTAATAATTCCTAGCATCCTATTTGCCTTTTTGACCATCACTGCACACTAGAGGGCTCTAGAGGCGATCCTGGCAATTACAGACCGGTAAGTCTAACTTCAGTACCGGGCAAATTAGTCGAAACAATAGTAAAGAATAAAATTGTGAAGCATGTAGAAGAACATAATTTGTTGGACAAAAGTCAACATGGTTTCTGTAAAGGGAAATCCTGTCTTACTAATCTATTAGAGTTTTTTGAAGGGGTTAACAAACATGCAGACAAGGGGGATCCAGTAGATATAGTATACTTGGATTTTCAGAAAGCCTTTGACAAGGTCCCTCACCAAAGGCTCTTATGTAAATTACATGGCCAGGGGATAAGAGGGAAGGTCCTTTCTTGGATTGAGAACTGGCTAAAAGACAGGAAACAAAGGTTAGGAATAAATGGTAAATGTTCAGATTGGAGAGGGGTAACTAGTGGTGTACCCCAAGGGTCAGTCCTGGGACCAGTCCTTTTCAACTTATTCATAAATGATCTGGAGAAAGGGGTAAGCAGTGACGTAGTAAAGTTTGCAGATGATAGCAAACTGTTTAGGATAGTCAAGACAGAAGCAGACTGAGGGACTCCAAGAAGATCTCACCAAACTGAGTGATTGGGCAACAAAATGGCAAATGAAATTTAATGTGGATAAGTGTAAAGTAATGCACATCAGAAACAAAGGGTAGGAATAAATGGTAAATTGTCAGATTGGAGAGGGGTAACTAGTGGTGTCCCCCAAGGTTCAGTCCTGGGACCAATCCTTTACCAATTCTGGGACCAATTCTGACTGGATTCTAATATTGACTCACTGTGTGAGCTCTGATTCAGTTTCCTGCTGTATATAATGGAGATGGTGCTTACCCTTGTAAAATGCTTTGAGATTTGTAGATGAATTACCATTAGTAAGAATTATAACACCATAGCAGTCGTTTTGTAACAAATAAGGGCCTAATCCTACTATGGATTAATTTCAATGTGGTCATGTGTGGGAGTAAGGGTTATTCATGTAAAGCTCACCAGATTGGTGCCTATAATCCTTGAAAAAATCCCTAAATATTTAAGATGTGACAGAAATGGAGCTGATATGCAATCATAAAAGCTGTGAATCTAAGAATATTGATATGTAACCAGTTTGCTGAGATTATGTAATTTATAGTGAAGTTATAAGAATTTCCTGAGTGAATTGATTGATTTAACATAATGTCTACGGGATGAAGGACTGGGAAGAACATCTAAGTACACACAAAAAAGACAATGGGTTTCAGCCATTGGTGTCAGACATCCTAGATCATGTCTCCAAAACCCAAGCAGTAAAAACTTAAAAAACAACAAATGGTCTGTAGCACTTTAAAGACTAACAAAACATATAAATGGTTTTTGCCAGGTTGGGAATTAGAGATCAAAGGAAAAGCCTCTCGCTAAGGTTCATTAGTGAGCTACTGTCTAGCAGTCAGGCTGGCACAGATGGACTTGGCATTAGGGTTGCCAGGTGTCTGATATTGACCTGGACAGTCCAGTATTTTCACCTCTTGTCCAGTAAAAAAAATGCCGAAAATACCGGACACCTAAAAATGTCCGGTATTTTCTGTTTTTTCCCCCTGCCAGGAGCAGAAAATACTGGACACCTGGCAACCTACACGCACTCAGCAACCCTACACACACCTAGCCCCTTAGCCCCTCCTCCGGGCCGCCTTCAGGGTCCCGGAGTCCCTGGGAGCCCCCCACTTACCTGGTTCTGCAGGGAAGTTGTCTTCTGGCTGGATCAGGAAAACAAGATGGCTTCCAACAAAAAGCTTCAAAGGCTTTTCTTAAAGGGATCATGCTGTTTTATTTTTTATTTTTTTAGCTTAACTCTCGGGGTTGTTTGCTCAACAACTTTGGTCTCTCCCCCCACTCCCTCCTTTTTTTTTCTCAACAGAACCTTTTCCTTGGTGGGTTTTTTTGGGGGGGAGGGTCAGTATTTTTAGTTAAACCATCTGGCAACCCTACTTGGCAGAGAAAGTCTAACAAAGTTCAGATCTAGGGGATGGTAAGAGTTAGGGAAATGAAGGCTTTGCAATTTAAGTTGGTTTATTGCTTTTAGGACTTTTTTCCTGATATGCTTTTAATCTAAATAAATGCTACTTTAAGGAAGCTGCTTGGTCACTAATTACCACAGTCATTGTCCCTAAGTGTGTGGGGAGGAGGAGGAGGACCCGGGGGCGGGGGAAGGAGGGTGAGATGGATTAGAGTTCACATTGACTCCCCATCAGTACCTGTCACAAACCAGGGAATCTAAGGAGCCAACCGGCAGACCAAATTTGATGATGAATACTCGTCAGCTGCCATCTAAGGCATGTTGCATGTACGTTAAGAAGATTGTCCTGAGACTGGGGTGCTGGAACAATTTGTACAGTGGGAGTGCTGAGAGCTATTGAATCAAACTATAAACCCTCTGTGTAATGGAAACCTTTTCAAGCCAGGGCATGCAGCAGCACCCCTAGTTCCAGCAGCTGTGCCCCTAAGGAACTGCAAGGTTTTTCCCCAGGTCAGATCTGCTATGGTGATCACTGTTGATACAGAGGACTGCCACCTGGCCTGAGAGTGGGAGAAATACATGTTTCTACCCTAAAAAATAGGTGACAGCTTGAATCCTGCCACCTGAAGTGGGGGTAACACCCAGAGAGACCAAGATGTGTAGAGAGTACAGTTATCCTGGTAACCATTTCATAATGTATTCCAATTTATCGCTACATTTCTCTTTTAAGGGACATAGCTGCAAGGAACTGCCTGCTGACCTGCACTGGGCCAGGGCGAGTAGCAAAAATTGGTGATTTTGGAATGGCCCGAGATATCTACAGGTAAGAGTTGAGAGGGTTCCATTTTCTTGGAGAAAAGTAAATGAAATGACATCTCCAGAGTGCGGAGGGATCATATATATGGCTGAAAAGTCTGTTCCATAGCAGCCTCGCTTCAATCGCCCTAGTGGAAACAGCCATGATCTTCAAGGGTGTTGTCTACACCAGAGTATTTACTCCTATTAATTGTTTATCAGTTAACACAGTGGTTTTCAACCTGTGTTCCACAGACCCCTGGAGATCTGCAGACAATGTCTAAGATTTCACATGGGGTCCACGCCTCCATTTGAAAAGCTTTGGGGTTCTCAAATGACAAGAGTTTGATAAGCACTGAACCTACATATTTGCACATGATAATCTGGACTTTACGTGTATGTGTGTTCCTGGCCGGGCCCTGGGACACTCCACTAATGTTTGTGGTGTCCAGACTAGCATGCACAAATGCATTCACCAATTGCAGCCAATGGGCAATTGGTGCTCTTAATTTAAAAAAACAAAAAAACAAAAAAAACCAAAACCCAAGGTATCTGCACTGTTGCCTTGCACTTTAGATACTTGTGCAAAGTGTGTGTAAAAACTTTCCCAACTCAAAATGTTTGCATTTGAGACCTGTTTCCCATTCAGTTTGCACCAGTATAGGTGACCCTACAAAGAGCAGGCAAAAGGGAGAAACCAAGCCCAGGGAATCATTTAGGAACCAGTCTCTATTAGTGGTGTTTCAGTGATGGGAAAACAGGATACAAAGTTAAACATTCATCTGGCAGTCCAAAAGTAAGCGGATTCTTCAAGGTAGCACATTCTTCCGGAGGCCCCAGTTCAGCTGTTGGCCTCCAGGTCAGTGATGGAGGAGGCTAAGTTTTTTGAACTTGTGCAAAGACCTGTTTTTCCCAGGAATTATCTTTAAAGAATTCATGTTAGTCTCTTTTATCAGCTCTTGAGGGTTACAGAGTACTTGCTGATCAGTTCTCTTACATAATTGGCCGGGTTTATTCTCTTCTCTCCCCCCCCCCCCCCCCAATTGGGATGGAGTGGGGAAAACTCGTTCTTCATCTGACCCCTTTCAGCCACTGTGGAATTTGATTCTAAGCCCTTAATTTTCCTTGACTTTGATCTTCCCAGGGCAAGCTACTATCGCAAAGGAGGGAGAGCCATGCTGCCTGTCAAGTGGATGCCACCAGAGGCTTTCCTAGAGGGGATCTTCACCTCCAAGACTGATACCTGGTGACCATTACCTTTCTTCTGCACACCAGGGGCTGGGTTAGGGAGTCCGCAAATGTCTGTGAGTCACTGGGAATGGAGGCCATCTTGCAGATAAAACTTTAAACATGGTAAAGTTGCCCAAAGACTTACCAGGAGAAATCAAGAAATCTTCCCTTTGACTTGAGTTAATCACGGAGGGAAGATGCAGCTGCTCTCTACCTGGTAGGGACCCATTGGCAGAATCTGCCTGGAAAATATGCTTAATAAATGTATTTCCCAAGTGGGCTGCTTCAGGAGGTTCAGGGCCATCTAGCAGAGCAGGTCTTACAGCCAATTTGCACCCCTGGCTCCAGCAGAGCTTTCCGCTGTCAGGGGTTGCAGCCTGTGGATGTAAGGAACCGGGCTCTGCATCTTGGTCAGTGTTGTAATGCCCTTACCACTACGCTAAAGGTAGTGGGGGTGCATGCCCAGGTTGCAAAAGCTGGCTGCAATACTGCATGCTTGCAGTATGTGGCAGCAAAGTGTGGAAAGGAAGGGTTGTTTAAATGCCTGATATTAAAGCAGTTTTAAAAATCCAACAAGCAGGAGTCTGGGATTCAATAAAATCACTGTCAGACACTTCTAACTTGTCATCCCTCAGCATCTGTCACTCAGCATCCCTGGCTGACAAGCATGCTTAAGTGCTGCTATCTCTATAATCACACAGGATTACGCCTTTGCTTTGGCATATTTTAATGCAGAGACACTGTAATAAAAAAATGACACTAGATTTAAGCAGAAACTCTAGCTACTTGCTGAGGAAATTATATAAATGCCTTTGATACACTTTTTCAATTTTAACTAAGCCCTTCCAGAAATACAGCGTTTGGGAAAAAGTACAGGGAAATACGGTGTTGTTTGTCAAGGGCTGTGTCTTATCAATCAGACCAGCATCCTCCTAAAGCTACCCTGACACATTGTTTCCAATGCCACACTGACCCAGTTCTCTGATGATGAATTTAATTAGTGATGCCCAGACCTCGAAAAGATTAGGACTAGATTTATCTGTCGTATCAAAGCAGATGAGCCAGTGGCCAGTACCAGACATTTCAAAGGAAGGTGTTCAATTGTAATAAATGATTATAAATATAACCTGCCTATACCAGAAATTTCTTTCTAGCTCCCATCAGCTAGGGGTTGGTGAAATACTGGTATGATGACAGCAAATGTATTAGATTAAATGTATCGTGTAAAAAAGAGTTAGCTCTGATCAATTTTAAACTTGTGGCCTTTCCATTTCATTCAATGGCCCCTTGTTCTTGTATTATGAACACTCAGATGTTTGCACACCTACACAAACATCTCGAGTCTACAGCAATCTCATGCCATGTGTGATACTTTTATGTTTCCAGTCAAGCCAGATATGCCACCTTAACAGTGCTTTGGTATTTCCACTTCCATAACCAACCAGAACCATGCAGTGCAGAGAAATCACACTTTAAAATTAGTTATGACATTTTGGAACTGCACAAAATTAGGTTTGGGTGACAATCCAAATTGCATCTAAGGGCTTGTCTACACATGGAGTTGTTCCGATTTAAAATCACCCCCACACCCCAGTTCATCCAAATTATCTTTCAAGTATAGAGAAAACCAAATGCCACACTATTTTTTGTCTGTCTGATTAATCTGGAGCTTTATGATGTTGCACCAAGGAAGTGTTATCTGAAGGCCTTTTACACCAAGCTCTACAGCCGGTAAGGTACGAATCAAAGCCTAAGGGGCATTGTTGGCTGGTTTCTGTGGCAGGTCCTTCGGTGTGCTGTTGTGGGAGATCTTCTCATTAGGCTACATGCCCTATCCTTGCAAAACCAACCAGGAGGTGCTGGAATTTGTCACTAGTGGAGGAAGAATGGATCCACCAAAGAACTGCCCAGGGCCTGTGTGAGTATCTCTCCCCTCACCCTTAGACCTACGTCAAAGGCTAGTAAACATTCAAGCTGGCTGCCATCCCCTCTACACACAAAAGAAAAACAACTATTTACCCTAGGTTTTCCCCAGAGGTTAATGGATGTTTAAGCTGAGAATACAATTCATTGTTAGCCATTTTGGTAGTCCCAGCAGAGAGGCCCAGGCTCCAGCGGGAATGGGAGAGTTAGCTGTACACACACCTCATGCCAACAGGTCCTTCCAAAACATAGGCAGGGCAAAGCATGGAAGGTTATATCACTGTTTCCATGTTATACCTGTTCTGTGAATAAAACCATGACTTCAGTGTCTAGTGCGGATAACCCAGAACTTTCAACACCAATAAACTTCATACAATTAAAATTATAGGCTCCAGTTCTGCAGTTTCTGTGTCACCAACTACCAGTAGTTTTCCCTGATGTGGGGAATACTCTCCTGCTTCAGGAAGCATATCAGATATATGGCCAGAGAGCATGACTGGAGCATGTACTGCTGCTCTTTGGAAATTCCATTGGAATTATTGATAGCTGGGCACAAATTAGAGTAGTACCAAGTTTGTTTTAATTGCAGCCCCCAGGCTCAGAGAATGTGAAAGTGACATATGGCCAATTTTGTCCTGCCCCTTAGATCCTATTCTGAGTGCAGTTCTTCTGGACCTGCGATCTGGGCCTAGAGACAGATATGAAAAAATGGAGCCATATAGATTTGTGGGTTTGATTTATCATCATTTTTAATTGGCACTAATATTTATTTATGTCTCAAGTTACCGGATCATGACACAATGTTGGCAGCACAGCCCAGAATACCGGCCCAATTTCTCCACCATTCTGGAAAGAATCAAGTACTGCACCCAGGTATCAGCCTTTCGGATTTAAGTGTTTACTTGTTTATGGCATCCAGACCATCCTATGATACCAACATTCCCACCCAAAACAGAGAGAATGGATCATTCTGATTGGCCAATTACAGTCCCAGTTCCCCTTGTGCTTGGCCTGTAATTCAGCTCGTCTTTTCATTTGTGCTTCTGGACAGCTCTCATATCTCACCTGTTCATCCCCTCTTCCCCCCAATAGTATGCCCCAAATCCCTTCCTGGGAAAAATGCTTCCACCTGTCAGCTCTTTCAGTAATGAAGAGTCTGTAGATTTGGGATGGAAAGGTTTCCAGAGTCCATCACACCTTCTAAGGTCCATATTTCACTAAAGTGTTTTTCAGACTTCCTTGAAAACCACAGTTGACCTGGCAAGAAAGAGGGGGGTAAGAGGGCATGAAGGGTTGATAAGCTGCTAGCCTTTTGCTGCTGGAGTTCTAAATCCAAACCTACCTTAAGATACAAGAAGAAATTATTAGATGTTGGCGATCACTGTCTAGTCATTCATATCAATAAGGCATCACAAAATGGCAACCCTTATTAAAAAGAAACCCTAAGATAAAATACATCCTGGCAAATCATAAATGGTATTGCGGCAGCTTGCACAATGCATGGCTGCAGTACACACAGCTTGCCCTAAACACTGCTAATGTGATCTCACTTTTCTGATACGGTGTGGAAGAGGCAACTGGGCCCACTCAGGGTCTAAAATGTGATTACTGAATCCTTTCTGTTTCAGGACCCAGATGTGATCAACACAGAGCTGCCCATTGAATGTGGACCAGCATCTGAGGATGAGGGGAGCTCTGTGATGTGCCCAAATAGTTCCAGTGGGATGGTTCCTTTCCTAGTGAACCCATCCCTCACACCTCAGCTGGCTCCCATGCCATTAGAATCCCATCATGCAGGGCAGAAAGTTGGACAATGTCCACAGGAGCTGCTGGTGGAGAATCTTGGCAATTGGGCTGTCAGAGGTCCCAGCCTACCGTGCCTCACTGATTCCAACAGCGGGTCATGGTTCCAACAGACCTCAAACCAGAGACTGGAATCAGGCAGACCACACAAAACCAAAGACCTTTGGAACCCAACCTATGGATCCTGGGTAATGGAGAATATCTGCCGGTCTTGTCCCAATGCTAAGCTCAAAGCAACCACAGAGCGAGAAGATTCGGGTTTTGATGGAAACTGCAGCTCCTCTCCTAGTTCTCGGGCCTCTCCAGCCTCTCCAAGCAGAAGCCACTGTCCTCACAGGAATATCGGAGGAATAGAACTGGTGAAGCTCCAGACTTTCCCTTGCGGCAATGTGAATTATGCGTACGATGATCTCTACTATGTCACTGATCGGCCTTCCGCTTTGGCCGTGGGGAGAGCAGGTGTGCTGAGGAGCACCAGTCTGCACAGGGATGGGAAGCCTTTTTGTAAACCAGAGAAAACATCAAGAGAGAGAGACTCTGGCCTGTCCTTGTCAGACGACTTAAGTGTTACGCCTGTATAACAGGAGATGTTACAGGATATGTTCTTCCAAAGGTCAGGACCTCACACTGGGAGTGTGTGTATTTCAAAGGGCAAATTGGAACTCTTTCTTTGGTCACTTATTTCCTCCATTCATGTTTCAGATGGGTAATATTCTAATTTCAAAAGTGTTCTGCCACATCCTCTGACACACTGGATTCCCAACCTAATGGGGAATATTGCATTTGCTACTTGAGGCCATCAGGCATATTCCCTCCAATTGAGCCAGTGCCACTGATTTCAGGATATAAATAACAATGGCATCGCTGCACTGACTCAGAGTCCAGTGGTTCATGAAAGGAGTCACACACAGTCTGCTCAGGTGAAAAAAAAAAAAAAACCTACCATCCAATTGTTACAGTTGGCTGGAAATGACAAACAACATAACCACTCTTTTGATCTAACATACCAAAAATCACATGCTGTGGCAGCAGTAGTTAACTTATAAAGGCCATTGTGTTCCCCAGAGCTTTGCACATTCCAGTGATGCTGGTGCACTGACAGGGAAGTAACCAAACAACAGCCATGTTTGCACTTGCTTTATCAGCAGTAATACTAGAGGAGCATTGAAATCAATGCTGCAACTGAGAAAAACAGAAGTGGTGAGAGGGGGAAATATTGTTTCAGGCTCCCTGGAGAGGATGTTTTTAAAAACATGAAGATTTAAAAAATAAGTATTTTAAAACTAAGTAATGAGTTGATTGTGTCCCTTTGCCTGGTTGAAGAGAACTTGCTTCTTACCTCAGAGGCTAACTTACCTCACAGTTCCTGACCCTGGAGGTTTGGGAAAAGTTCTAATCAAGGCCTAACTACACTATATTGTGAGAACTGGACTTTCTCTTTCTTTCAATGGACTTTACTTGGGATTAACTTTATTTTTAAAAGGACACAGAATTCAGCAGTAGTAGCCTACACTATAGTGGCCCCATTGCTGTAAACTGAAGATTTAGGGCCATTTATGATGGGCTATTGGCTAGTTCTACAGTAGACAAGATTTACGGGTCTCTTGTCCACTTCCAATTCCCTTTCTCTCCTGAGCCTCCGGTCTCTCATTCCGTCTCTCTCTCTCCCTCCCCTCCTACTGCCTTCCCCCCCCCAACTCTCCGGTCTTCTGCCTCTCTCTCTGTCTCTTTCTTTCTCTTCTCCCCCTCCTGCCTCTCACTCTCCATTTCTCTTCTCCTCCTCCTGCCTCTCTCTCCCCTCCGTTTCTCCCTGTCCCCCTTCCCCTTCCCTCCTGCTGTGGCGCTCTGCTGAGTGCGGGGGGGGGGCCGGGAGCCGCTGTCACACCACATGTCACTGCCCCGCCTTGCCCCCCTTCACCTCCTGCTGTGGCGCTCAGCTGACTTCTGTGCCACTCTGCCGGGCCACCACGGGGGAGCAAGTGACCGTTTGGGCTACCCCACAGCAGCCCAGCTGAGCAGCGCAGAAATCAGCCAAGCACTATGGCAGGACAGGAAAGATGTGACTCATGCAACAGCGCCACCCAGAGGCAACAGACAGAATTTCAGCATTACAAAGTCTCAGACATTGGGCTACTATATATATATATATATAGTAGCCCAGAGACAGTGGGCTCTTGTTTAAATACATAATATAGAAACTCCTCTGAGATAGACTTGACTGAACAAGGTGTGCAGCTTGAAGGGAAACCACCAAGGAGTTTTATTTGACCATAAAATTTTAAAATACTTCTTCATTAAGCAAGACTGGCTACGTTAGCCACCTTGGAAGGCCAAATCACAGCTTGGTCTTATGCACCTGTCTTTTCTTGAGGGAGGGCTGACAGTTGCATATGTTTTCTTCTTGATCTCTTAAGAATACAACCCTATCTGTTAAGGAGGCAGGTCCCTGTTCAGGAAGAATTGTTATCTTAAAAGGTTCCTAATCTGATTAGGCAGGTTAGAGCCTGCCAAATAAAAGAGAATATGGTAAAGACAGTACTGGTTATAGGCCCAAAAACATCTCATCATTTATCCACCTTCCCCTCCCAGCTCTGAGGTTTGGCAGCCTAGTCCCCACCCTTCCAGTGGGGAGTAACAGACAGTGTTTATCCTTGGGTCTCCTCAATGAGATCCTTAACTGACCAGCAGACACACCAATGAGCAAGTCTTCCTCCTTCCAGAGGCTAAGCATGTTTTCTGCCTCGCTACACAGCCACTTCTGGTATATGCCAGTGAGGAGCAGCTACCCTTCTTTCGCTACCAGCCTGAATCTATGAACTCTTGAGGCCCCCGTTCCCATTCTGCCTCTGCTCAGTTGCATACCTCTGCCCTGCATTCAAATCCGCCCTATTTCAGGCGACATTTTCACTCCCACAGCTCACTCACAACCAATGTTTCCTCTAATCTTTTCTATGTGCAGAGTACATTTTTATGTGCACCAAGGCACATGCAGCTGTGCACCACCAATAGTAACACAAAACCTAACTGGGAAGGGGATCGAGACCTAGTGTATCATCATCAAGTCCTTCCAGGAAAAAGAACCCACCTCTTCTGGATGCATAGGTGATTCTAACTGGAGCCTCCCATGAGCAGGCTAGAACAGGGAGCTGCACACATGGACCAGTTACCAACAGTAATGGGGAAGGAAGCAGTTCAAATGCATGTGAGTGAAGAGCAACAGTCCTATTAAAGTTCAATGGGTTGTACATGCTCAACTCACTTACCTGCCTTTGAAAATCCTACCCACAAACAGTATGCTGGGCTTGAAGTAGAAGACAGCTGCTAATAATTCCCATCATGATGCTGATGTATGTCCAATCCAAAATCTTACTACTGTAGACAAAACTAACCACACCAATGGCACACGACATAGTCCTGAAGGCCTAATTATGCTGGAAGGAGCTCAAGCCTGATGGTGGCAAAGTTCCAAAGGATTTGGTTCTGGCAGAGGAAGTACATGAAAATGGGACACTGGGATTATTTCAGACTCCTCTTTGGCACATCCACCACCCACGGGAATGTTGTAAAAAAGTCCTGCTCCGTTTGATGGGTCTTTTAATTTTGTATTTAGCTTTGTGCTTTAATAATTTAGTGTAGCCCCCAAATTATTATTTTTTAAATAGATGGGTATATATAAATACTGCTTCTTCGCATTTGTATATAGTCCTAATTCACCCCTGCTTGAAGTTAATGGACAACTTTCCATTGCCTGGCAGACAGATGATGGCGGAAGACATCGGGAAAGTAAAGATGACCTTTGAGTCATGTGTCTGGATCAAAGGAGACATTACACTAGCAGCTGAGGCCTGGAAGCAATAGTTTATAGCTCCCCCCCCCCAAGGTTGGTGAGTAAGATGGCTTCACACTTGAAGGGTTAAGACTCTCTTGAAATCAGGACCTGCATCTAATCTTATACATATTTGCTTTGATTGATGTTGCTTTTCACAGTCCGATTATGTTACAATTTAGAGAGAAAAAAACAGTCCGATTATGTTACAATTTAGAGAAAGAGAGAAACCAAATTAATTGGGAGTCTTAATTTGTCTTTCTTTTTAGAATTAACTTTCTGCCTTCACTGCTTCCCTCTCACACCTCCTTTTATATCTAGAGCTCTGCACAGATACAAAATTGTGTATCTGCATACACAAAAATGAGCAGGGATATAAAGCAGATATCTGCAAATTTGCAGGGTTCTAGATACAACATTTGTATCCGCAAAAATGTGCCATGGATATTTGCATCCATATCCACGGATGTGAATACCTGCAGATATAAAGCTGGTATCTATGGATTTGCAGGGCTCTATTTATATCCTTTTTTCCCTTGATTTCCTCTGCTGCCTCCCCAGCAAGTTTGTATCTTCTTCTGACACCCACTATTAAATACACTTCAAACTAAGTAGGTATTCCATTGATGGAAGATCACCTCCACAGCCATATCACAACTCTTTCCTAAAGTTGGTTTCTTTCTCTCTGGTTCTCAAATCTTTGGACAGGTCTACTTTAGAGGTGTTTTACTGGTATAGCTGCACTATAAAAGGAACGCATTCCTTGTACTGATGCAGCTTTTGCCATTTTATCTTCTCTCTCTCACACACAATACATTATACTGCCAAAAAAGGCAGATATATCAGTATAACTGCTTCAAAACTAAGCATTTTTCTCAGCAAACCTATGTTAATTACAGCTCTGACTGCCACAGGTGTACCAGCAATGGTTTGCAGCATAAAGAACCCAACAAACAGTTCCCATGTTTATGAGGGGCAGTACCATCGCTTAGGTCTACACTGCAATTCAATGTCTGTGGCAGCCCTGTCTCAGCAGAGGTGGGGCTCAGTCTTGGAGGCTGTAAAATTGCAGCATAGATGCTCAGACTGGAGGCAGAGCAATGGGACCTCTTAAGGTGGTTGCACTCCAGTCCGATACCCAAACGTACATAGCCAGACAGCTGACCCAGGCCAGCCTGTTTAATTGCAGTATAGACATATTTAACTGAACTGCTTTTGATTTGTTGTTACCTCTGCTTATGGCAACATTGCTTGCCGACCTACCCTTTGGGTCACTGTGTATAGTAGATACCAAGTCTGCTTCTATGCAATTTCAAGCCAGATAAATGTATTCTTCTATATTTGCGGTACAAAAATAAAGAGATGCTAACAGTGTCTACTTGGTGTCCTCTGTGTTAAAGTGAACCCCACCTGGATACATGGAAGAGAATTAGGGCTCAACGCAGGAGCCAGATGATTCAAAGGACAGGCCACTGCTCTTCCTTTCGGGGCACCTAATATGGGTTTCCTGCTGGAATTATCAGCTGCTCTGAGTGTGGAGAGATCATCTCACCTGCTGTGAATCATTGGGTTTTAGTACCCTGAAGCAGAGATTTTCCTATCCCTGTAGGAGCCATGAAGTTCAGTGTAAAATTGGGGATATAGCCAGACTCCCTCTAATAGGCAGAGGGATCTAGTTCAAATGGACTTTTGTATGAGATACCTGAGTTCTTAGTATGACTGTCAAGTGTCTTGGTGCCTAAGATCAATGGGATGCTTTTGGAAGTCCCACCGTGTGCCTATCTACATCTTCAGGTGCTTAAATGCTTTTTAAAAATCTGACCCTGGACTCCTTGGAATGAGCAGGGCAAGACTTCCTCCCTCTTCATACACACGTATTCTATCAGCACATAACTTAAAATACAACCAGGAGCCCCACCTCCAAGATCCACTGGAGCAACAGACACAATCTTGAGCCAACCTCAGTCCACTAGACACAGTCGCAAGATCCACTGGAGCAACAGACACAATCTTGAGCCAACCTCAGCTAGTCCACTAGACACAGTCACCAGGATATCCTGAACTGCTGCCCTCACCTGCCAATGGTCAGTGGCTACAGCTGACCAATAGCTACAGTAGTCTCCAAGGAAGTACAAAGCTGTACTGGTTCCCATAGTGCAGAATCTCACTGCTCTCTTTCCAATTTCTTGGACTTACCCAGTAAAAACAAGGTATGCATCATGTCTCCAGGTTCTATCGAAACAGCAGCAAAATCAGGGAAAGA